TACTAAACCTAATAGTAGGTTGAGTAGAGTATCGAGACCTCTACCAAACCTAATAGTAGGGTGAGTAGAGTAGATACTCGAGTATCTACCCGAGAGTAGGTTGAGTAGGTACTCTACTGAACACACCCTTGGAATGTTGCTTCTCCGCGAAGCTCTCGAGCTGCAGCTCTTTTTGAACATTGGGTGTTTCGGAACGAAAGCAAGAGACGAACAGAGGGTGTTACAGCACAAAGCCCGTCAAAACTTAGACGGTGATCTTTGTTTGACGGCGATCACAAAAAACGCTGGTGTGGGTCCGGCAATATTCCGGTCGTCGGTTTTTTACGGTCAGAAAAAGACGCCCAAACACCACAAGCCGTGACCCACCAAACAAACGCTGAACCTTTGAGTTTGGAGGGCCGTTGTAGCCTGCCCCAAAACGGTTCCAATCCGCCACAGCAGTGACGGGAATGACGGGAAGTATCATCCCGCATTTCTTCGGACCTCATGAGCTCGACGCACTACAGTCGGTAAAACCTTGGCCAATCCCATGCAATGGGAGGCCGAAATTGCGTCATCACCAAAAACCGCTGAAAAACCGCCGAAAATATCATCTCCCGGGTTTGTGCGCAACACTCGCTTCGCACCCCAACCGAAGGACTTGCGGCATGACGAGCCAACTGAAAACACTCATAATGTTTTCAACCTTACTGAGACTGACATATTTTCATTGGTCAGCTGGTTATGTAGCACAGTCGACGTCAATTCAAAAGACCCCACACCGGGCAAGCAACAATCAAATCGGCTCTCTCTCCGGAAGCACTCTCAGACTTCGAAGCACTTGTAACAACAACGGAGAAACAAGATACTTGCGCAATCCCAAGACCATGATGCTCGCCTCCTCCGCCAACGACCCCAAACAAGACCCAAGCTAGACAAAATTCGAAACGTCGCGTACGCTAGGAAAGCCCCCTCTCCCTGACAAATACCACAACCACCGCAACGTTTGGTTTGACACAAACCCAGAGACTACACCAGAGTACCCGCGACCCCTCTCCCCGCAGGCCGAAACGTTACCGCGCCGCTCTGCTCTCCCCCAACCGCCTTCTCGGGGGGATCCGCGGCCCGCCCACGTCTGACCAACGTGCCCGCCGCCCGCTGAGCCACGCCCTCAACCCAACCCCACGCCGCCGCGCCCCCTCCGCCGGCTGCACCAGCGCCCCGGCTATCCACCCCGCCGTCGCCACCCGCCCGCCGTGCCGATACCCCATCGTCATCTTCAGTGGCACCCTTGACATTGCGGCCACTGGGAACAGCGGCGCGCAGTGGCGCGGGGGCGGCGGCGCGGCGGGAGGTTGCGGGGGCAAGCGGCGGGGCGGCGGGACCCCGCGGACCGGTACCGGTACCGGTGCCGGAAGTGGTCTCCATGCAGCGCCGGAGGACCTTCAGCTCGTTTTCAGCCTTTTTCGTTGCGAATTTTCAGCACACGCAGGCGGTGGGGGCAAGGAGAATGGAATTTTGTTAGTCCGCGCTTCGAAAACGATGCAGCCGGCGCAGGGCGGACGCTCGTGCTATTTAGCGCATGTTACTGCCAAGTTGAGCCACGTCTCGGTGTGCTATCGAGACGCAACAACACCTGGTTGAGTACAAGGGCACAGCAGTGGAACCCCTGCCAATATTGTGGCCGATTCGGATACTAGAGCGCACCCCCCCCGCTTTTCCCTCTTAACTCTAACGCAAAAAAATATTGCATTGAAAAGAACGAAAGCACACATAGCAGGGGCAATTGGAGTACAGCCAGGTGTAGGGTTCTCGCATACATGTCCGCGTCCCCCGGATACGAAGACCACAAACACCGCGGCTCCGAGGACAGTATCGAACCTCTACCGTACCTCTATCAACTTTCCCTGAAGAGCGTCTCCTCGCATTCGGTCCTTCCTGCCAAGCGCGCAAGCCATCCTTAGCTTCGGCTGAAGCGGGGCGAGGAACGCTACCTGGCTCTCCAAGGCTGTCATCTGCGCAGAGAGAAGCGAAACCACGAAACAGAGGGTGGGTTTTTGGGCGGCTCGAGGCGGGGGTCGTGCTAACAACAAACAAAAAATAGGATGGGGTCGCAAGAGGCGCGCGTGTGGCGCAGCGCCATAGTTGCCTCCCACGGTGCTCGCAAGTGACCGCACCCTGAATGGTACAATCCCACTTCACCTGTCGCTGTTGAGTGACAACCTGGCGGCTTAGCTTGCGCACCAGGATCTCCATGCTGCTTAACCTGTCGATGGCGAGAGGGAACACGACAACAAGTTACGCTTCGGCATGATCGAAAGCGGCATGACATGTAGCTCTGCACGTGCCACCACACACCACAGGGTCAACTCCCTCGAGACTTTCCCTGGTGAACAACCAAACAACACCAGCACCACCCAACATTGACGATAGACAATGACCAAGAGAAAATGAAATATCCCGCCAGGCTGCCTTCCGTGTGTCCAGGCGCTCCGCAAACTCGTGCGGTGCAACAAAACGATGTTGGGAACCCCCCTCCCCCCGTGCGCACTCTTTCTGCTCACCTTCGAAACATCTCCAACACGCTTATTGTGCTATCCCGAGCACCGTCCACCATCCTAACCATCCGCAACCTAACGAGCCTCCGCCGCCTCAAACCCCAGCCCCCGCCTGCCCCATCGCTGCCCCCTCCAACGGTAGCAGCCGTCGCTTGCCGCCGCGGGCCCTTGGCGTCTTCTTCACCTTTGTTATCGGCGGAGGAAGCGATGTCACCATCGCTGTAGTTGCCGGAAACCAACATCTGCTGCTGCTGCTGCTGCTGCTGCTGCTGCTGGGGGGGCGGCGATTCATCCCCATCTTGCGTGTTTTCCGAGCTTGCTTCTGGCTCGCGGGCACCATCGCCCACGCCAGCGGCACCTGCTGTAGCGTCAGCAGCGCTGCGGCTGCTGCTGATCTCGGGACTGCTGCTGCTGCTGCGCATGCCGTTGCTATGCGAAGATGTTCGGCCGAGGGCAATCTCCGAAATCTCCGAAGGCGACCGGCCGTAGATCCAGCCGTCTTGATCCGACGACGCTTCCGTCTCGGAGTCAACCATCCAGCCCCCGACCCACTCCCAGTGATGGCTCGGGAGCCCCACGTCGTCCAGCTCGAAACGGCTGTGGGAGGACGGGTGGGGCGACGGTAAGTTGTACACTCCCACAACGGTACGTGAATGAACATAACGATTGGGAGCCCATAGGTGAGACTCCGTGTGTCGCCACTACCCGGCATTGGGGCTAACCTAGGATGGGTGGATGATGGGATGTACTGCTCTGGAACGTTCACTATACACAACACTTTATCTTCGCGGAAACTAATCGCCTGCTACTCGTGTTGTTTCGTATGTGCGACCGTAGTCCGGGACATGGGGATCTTGGGCCAGGGGAGATACCAACGCACATTTTGGTAGCCAATTCAAATGGACCCATCTTGTGTAAGGATTGTACGTGCCTTTGTCGCTCTTGTTGCCCAGTGGAGCACGAGGGGGTGTAGCGGTGCATCACAGTTTGAAGGTTTTCGGGGGGGTACTACTCGCACTATCGTAGCCCGCCCTGCTGCTCAATGACCACTCTTCGCGAGAACGCGAGGAGTGCGTGCTGTATGCCAAGGATGCGTGCTGCGTACTTGCCTACATAGCATCCGCGAATACCCGCTTTCTGACACGGGCCAGAGTCTGAGCGCATGGTACGACACAACCCCAATCAGCCACTGCTTTGCTCAAGTCTGTCTCTCACTTTACCAGCATTCCAACAGCAGCACAATCAACGACATATAGCAGCAACAGCAGTAGTAGCAGCAGCAGCAGCAGCAGCAGCAGCAGCAGCAGCAGCAGGAAAACAGCAGCCTCACTTACAAGGTCACGCCCTCGTCGGTCACCATGCGCCAACCCGGGGCGCCGCCGATTCCGCCGCCCAGCCCCCTCCCCGCCGCCGCCACCGCCGCCATCGCCCCCCCAATCTTTTCCCTCAGCCCACCGGCCCTAGCATCGCTCCCCGCCTGCCCCCCAGCTTCACATCTCGCGTGGTCAGCCGTAACGAAACCGGTTAGGGCTAGTGTGGGAGAACGGGATCTCGGAGACGATGGCGACGACGATGATGGGCTTGACGTGGATTGCGGAAGAGACGATAGCGACTGCGGGGGCGGCGGCGGCTGTGGTGGGGGATGTGGTCCCGCGAGGTGGTGAAGCGGGAGAGAAGAGAGCTCGGTTGGAAAGGCGCCGAGCCTTGAGCTCCATGCTCCTCGGCTGTCGGAAAGGGGTGCCGCAAGCAACGATCATGGCGTGCAAGGGGGTGAACGGAGGTTTCTTGTCCATCCATTTTCTGTGAATCTTTTGGGATACGGCTTGCAGCTCATGCGTGTGACCCCCCCCCAAAAAAAAAGACACGCGTTTTAGAGCACTACCAAAAACATCAAGAACACTTGGATGTCGCACGTAACAAGCGTCTTGCGGCATGCTTCTCTCAGTGCAGCGGCGTAAGCCGCCGAAAAACCTCGTAAAACTGGGCATCGCCGCCCGAAAAAGGGGCGTGCCAACGACTACCATACCCTCCTCTACCTGTCTTTCCCCTGCCACTCGAAGCAGGACTCCTCCTTCCGAATACCCTCAAGGACAACATCCGCCCAGGGTGTCCGGTGGAGCAGCAGCAGCACGGAGGGATCCACACCAGGAACGTCCCGCAGGAGGGGATCCAAGTCTACCGTCTCCTGTGTCCTGGTGGTTGCGGAAGAACCTTGCCCCCACGCCTGGGTTTCCTCTCGTGACGAGGCGTGGCTGAGGGACTGGACAATGTTCTTCAACTGCTCCACCTGGAGTAGGGACAAAGGAAGATGCGGATATTGCAACGAGGCGTCGCCGTGAAAAGCGCCGGCTGAAATTTTGCGCGGCTCAAACATCGAGCAGGCTTTCGCGCAAAACTTGTTGCCGATTTCTGCGTCCCCGAAACAGCCGTTCATAAAAAGTACAGCTTCCACGAGGGGGAAGGGGCGAGAAAGCTTGGCGCTGTTGGAGACGGCGTGCAGGAGGCACTCGAAACTCAGTCTAGCGTTCCCAATACTTTTCCCGCCCGTGCCGCCCACCCGTCTAGAAAACGGATGATACTGCATCCCATGCGTGTCCACCGCAAGGACTGTTCCCACCGACTACAAACCGCCTACCAACATTGCAGCTGAACTCGAGGATCAACCGTGTACAAATGGTCGTGCATCCACCCAACTCTGGCGGCGGTTTCGGGGGTCCAACAATTTGGAGACTGCCACTGAGTAGCCGCGGTAACGATCGTCTGGATTGGCGCCTGACTTTGACCGCTCGCGTGTTGAGGGATTGTGCCACCACCCTCACCTGCACCTCCAGCCGGATTGACCGGTCCGTCTTCTCCCTCATCTCGTCGGCCGCCTCCGCTCTCTGCAACTCCAGCTCCACCACGCGCGCTCTTAGCGCTCCCACCGCCTGTTCCCTGGCACTGCCGCCGCCGTTGCTGCTGCTCTTTTGACCATCAACCCCGGGCCCGTCCGCAGAGTCTTTTAGTTTCTCTTGCTCCTCTGCAGTCATCGTTTCGCTGGCTGCCCCGGTTTTTCCGCTGCCTGTGCCGGCATTATTCCCGTTGCGGTCATCATCGCTGGCTTTGCCTCCTCGCACGCGGCCCAACCGCCACTCCGAGAAAATCCCTGACGCCGACGCGATCGCACCGCCGCCGCCGCCGCCGCCGTCCTCCGGTGGTTCTTGTCCTGGGTCTTTGTCCACTGCTGTCTTGTTCGCTACTTGCTGCCGCTCGATCGACTCGGAATCGAAGGATAGATCGTTGCCGGCGGCGGGGCTCGTAGGAGCAGCGGCGGCGGCGGCGGCGGCGGCGGCGGGAGTACCGAACACGTCAGAGCCGACGGTGACGGTGGCCATGATATCTCGCAGCTCTCCGGAGAGGGCCTCCTCCTCCTCCATCCTCTCTCGCGCGAGCCGGTCCGCGCGCGCCCTTTCCTGATCGAGGTTAACCTGCCTCAAGACGGTTCACAAAACCGCATCCGGCGGAGGTGAGCACGGTACACCGGCCAGAATCAACCAATGGGCACGCGATATAAGTGATGCAGCGCCGCAAGAAATGGCCTTAACTGGTGATGATGCTGCTGCCTGCCGCAAAAGTGCCGCCTGGAGGGCAACAACACAGATGAGAGATGGTTCACAACACGCCGCTGTGTAAATATACAGCAGTCCCGCCGAACGTCGGCTATTTCTTTGAATTCAAATGTGCGCCCATATGCTTCACCACGATTGAAGCAGGCAAACAATCCTTTCAATACTCACAACACAACATGTGGGCACACATTGCAATATCGTGCCTCCGGTGTCCTGCCGTCGCATCTTCGTGGTTTGGTTCGTAGAGGCAAGCAGTTAGGCAGGCGGCCCATTTTCTGTCCAATCGGACAATCGGACTGGTATGTAGGCGAACGTTCAGAAATTACGCCGCACTTGAACCTCGATGAAGAGTGGGGCACAAACCAGCAGTAGCTCTCCTCCGTGTTGTAACCAAGTTCATACCTGACAGGCAGAATGCTCCACCTGTCGGAAGCCTCACCTCTAGCTCGATGACCTTGTCGCACCTCCGCTGCAGCTCCGCCAACAGGCTGGCCGTGGTTTCCTCCTGTTCGTCTCGGGATTTTCGCAACAATAGCACCTCCTTCTCCAGCGACTGCAGCAGCGAGTGGTTGCTATTCTCAGCTCCTTCTGCTCCTTCTGGCCCCCCTGCATCTCGTCTACCATCATCCGAGGCCATCGTGTTTGGGCAGAGCGTTTAGATGGTCTCCTCGTCTCCTTGGTTATGGCAATGACCGAATAGGTAGCAGTCTGCTCTGGTCTCCTCATCAAGTGCAGCCTGGGGGGTCCGCGGAATAGAGTGCCCATATGGCGTGTCCGAGCATATCAGATCAGTGCTCAGCTGTGCACTGCAGCTGAGCTGTGCTCGCCAAATTGCTGTTGTGCTCTCCGGCACTCTCACACTGCCCTCCGAGCCATGTCTGTTGCTTTCAACTCAGGACCATCAGCCGCGCCACTGGCGAGGATGATAGCAGCCTTCGTTGCGTCACGCGCGGGCCGACCACCATCGGCCAGCAGCCGAGATGGCCGTGGCGGCATCAGAGATCGCGGCATCAGAGCAGCTGCGATGTCGTCGTTGCCGTACGGCCTTTGGCGCGACAGAGGCGGCACACTTGACATCACGAGTGCGCGAAACCCTAAGGTCAAGCTCATGAGGTTCGTGTGTGCGCTGGAGCGTGTCTGTTGGTGTACTTGTGTTGAACTGTCAAAGAAGACATCAGCGTGGGAGGTGTCGTGTCAACCGTTCCCTCGCCGAGCATTGTCTTGCGTCTGCTGCCGATGGATTGATCGCAGAACAATATAGAGCCCAACCTTACCAATGGTATTCCCCTAGGTATCGCAATAGTAGGTGCGAAGCGTCGCAAGCTATTAGGTGACAGGGTGACAATTGCACAAACCGGCCGCAAGTTGATCTTGAATTCCCCGCAAAAGATCACCTCTCACAAGATCACTCGTGTTACACTTGGAAGTGCGCAGCAGAGCATCGCACCTGCAGCGGGATTATCAACTACCGTTGGGTGCCCTCGCTCGACAAACCACACACCGCTGTAACCCTGTCCGGCTATCGCGCGAACACGACCCAGGTCCTTCCACAAGCGACGGACTCGCGACGACGGTGGAAAAATCTTGGCCGAAGGCCATCGGCTGGTGTGCGACCTCATCGAAGGCGGCCTCACTCCAACCCTCGTCATCGTGTCCCCTGAGGCGAGTTCAACTTTGTCTCTCTCTCTCTCGTGCTTGGAAGTCCTCGACCAAGCGCTGGCAAAGTGATTGCATTTCTAACTTTAACCCTAAGTATGGCTCGTCTGGAGAACCAAGGCGATGTCCTCGTCCTCCGCCCCTCGCGCCCCTACTCCCTGTTCACGTTAAGGTCGTAGTTGTCGCTTCAGTTGTCGTCGCGATTGTCGTTACCGTCGTCTTTTCCGTAGTCGGTGTTGCAGTGTCGTTGGCGTCGTCGGCATCGCCTATTGCTGTTGCTGGTGGCACTGCACCGCGTACCTTGACCCCCGCACCTCCTCCTTCTCCGACGATTTGCATCAGGCCCTGCGAGCGTCCCCGGGCCCCCGGCTGCAGGCCGCATTGGAAACCCTCTCGGCAGACGTCGTCGCCGTCGCCCCCGCGGAAGTCGTCCAGCGGTGCTGCGACACGGTCACGTCGCAGGGGGTGGTGGCGCTCGTAGAGAGGCCGGTGCTACCCCTGCCCCCGACCATGCAGACGGTGTTGATTTGCGACGGCATTCAGGACCCAGGTGCGGGCGGAGGATTGGCGGATACAATGAATGTGGTTAATAAGGAGGAGAAGGAGTTGTTTGTGGTATTTTTAGGGTGAGGTAAATGAATGTGGTTACCTCGAACGGAAGAAATTGTGTGTGGTACTTCGAAAGGTGCTGTGTATCTGCAGGTAGGTAGCGTTGTCGCGGACGGATGCGGGGCGGCAAGTCATTGGCGCGGGTGTCTCCGCCTTTTGTTGTCCCGAGTATTTGTCGCAGGATCGTGGAAAAAATGAAACATAATCAGAAGTTCTACCGCTCAGACCGACACACGATGCCAAATAACGGCAGTGCCCCCCCCCTGCCTGTGCCCATGTGCGGTCCCCTCCGACACGGCGGAAGGCAACCTTGGGACCCTCGTTCGGACGGCGGCGGGCTTGGGAGCAGACGCCGTGGTGAGCGATGCAACGAAGTGGAGCTGGCTGGACGTTGATTGGTTAGCGTCGGGCGTCGGCTTGTTCCGAAACGGTGCTTTGTCGCAAAAAAGAAGCATGTGCTCAGGGTCCTGTTCTTTTAGGAAACCCCTGTTCGACGCGGGTAGATATGAACGGTAGTGACCCTCCCTCCCGCTGCGTGACCACGCTGGATTAAACCTTTCTGAAAACTGGAACGTTCCATCGGTTTAGGTGCTGACGGGTTCGTGCGTAGACTATTGGGCGCCGAAGACCGTTCGTGCCTCTATGGGGGCTTCGTTCCGACTGCCATCCCTGAGGCTGGAGTCTTGGCAAGAGGTCGTAGGTAAGAGTCGTCAATACGTGGTACGTGAAAGTCGTCGCTGCAGCGGCGGCGGCGGCGGCGGCGGCGGTGGTGGCGGCTGCAGTCTGCGGAGGCCGCCGCACCGAATCCCCTTCTGTAGGTTGTGATACGATACGACGCCGCTTGGACCGATTTTGCAAGCCTGGATTACTCCACAACGAAGAGGATACCAAAGCCAAGTGATGCGTTGTCGGAAACCTCTAGACGACGCGGTTCCAATGCCGCTCATTCGGGCATTATTGACTTTTATGCTGCAGAGCAGAGCATTCGAGCTTTGAAAACCGATCAAGGGGGCGTGGTATCTTGCGTCACCTACCCTCTGAGCACGTGGAAGGGGTCGTGTCTAACCACGGGATGGCCCGCTCTCTCCCGAATCCCCCTGACCCACAAACTCTTTACCCCCCCGAACGCTCGCGGAACAAACAGAGTTGATGCGGGCGCGTGGCATCCGCATGTACGCAGCCGATGGGGGCGCGAGACTATCGCACTTCGATGCCGACTGGACCTCTCCAAGTGCTCTCGTCGTCGGCGCGGAGGCAAGGGGTAAGCCAGATAAGGGCGCAGCGGTAGGGGTGCGGCGAGGGGGCTACTCACGTTTAGCATGCCTTAGTTATTTGACCAGGGTGGCGCTGTGATACCCATATTTTCTCGTACAATGCATATGCACGTGGCGGCCCTCTAAACTGTTAACTTTGCCTGATGAGCACGGGCGTGTCTTGCTAGTCAAGTGTGCCCAGTGCTGTGAAATACGGTAATCTGCGTAAGGTTGCCCCCCCGCCGGTCTATTTTCGATTCGAGCTTAGCCCCCCACCCTCCGTGGCCAATCGTTGGCAGATTTCGGTGTTGAATTGTGTTGGGGGATAAGGGTTTGTCCCTGAGCCGATCGCCGCTGGCGATGTGCAGAGGTCTGCTGCATGACGTAACATAGGAACCTGACGAACTGGTCCCCTCCCACTCCGCCGCTGTCAATCCTGTGTGTTGCACCAGGTCTCAGCGACGCTGCGAGGCTGGAGCTGGAGAGCGGGGGCATCGCGGGGGTCAGCGTGCCTCTGGAGGGGGGGGTGGAATCGTTGAACGCGGCGGTGGCGGGCGCTATTGTACTAGGCGAGGCGCAACGGCAGCGTTTGGTGGCGGAGAGACACGTTGGGGTTAGGTGGGGGGGGGGGATGACGGGAGATGGCGAGTTGTCGGGGGCAGTCTCACAATGATGACGCCACCGCTTGGCGGTCCGGAATATCTCATCGTTTTTCTGTGGTTGGCGGAGGACTTTTGAGAACGTGGTCCCGTATTCCGTTGGGGTTGGTTCGTGGATGCTTTCGACCTTGCCGTGATGCATAACCGGTGCGAGCAGCACCAGAGAGTAGATATACATATATATATATAGAGAGAGAGGGAGAGAGAGAGAAAGATAACAAGTGCCCCCAGATATTCTAATCGGCCAATGAGCGGCCGGGGTGCAACGTTCCGAACGTTGTTGGTGTTCGCGCGGTTGCGACCACCTCACGGAAACAAACGCGTCCGCGTGGGGGAGGAGCTCATTGAACTGGCAGTCGGCGAAGCAGTCTCGAATCGCGGGTGTGTTTGGGCCCCATCTCCTACGTTCATCAGTTGACTCCGTCGGTACGAGGTGCTCGTTCTGTTTTTTTGTTCTCCATCACTTTTAGTATCAGCGCTCAGAGCTACATGTAATTATTCCAGGGATGAACTCCGATCCGCTGTGCCCCGTGCATGATTGGGGTCTCGAAATGTCCGTTGACATGTGCGATGCTTTGTTGTACGAGTGGTTGCTCTGAAAGTGACCACGAACCTTTTTCGGCTGCTGTGGTGCCATGATCAGCGCTGTCGTTTCGAGGTCTTTTCACTCTCTGTGGGTAACGAGTTTATGAGTTATTTCGACGACATTTTGTTGTCGATCGGCGTCGTGAAAAGGCCACCCGAGCGTCTCCCGGCCGCTAAAATGACAACCGAGGCTTGATTTTTGACCTGCATGCGCTCTCCCTTCTTCCCCTCGCTCCTCGACAAGCTTTTGCTTAGACATGGGTTGTAGCGAAGGGGGGGGTCTTTCTGGCGAGCAGGGCTAGACTCACTCTCAAGGGATGACCGAAACCTTCTTGCTGCTGCGCATCCGCCGCGAGGCGTGCGTGTGGTGGTGGAGTTGGGTCGGCACTGATGGGGTCAGGCGGGAAAATGTAGATGCGCGGGCCTTTCTGGCCGTCGGCGTTGGCAGTGATGCCCATCTCATTTTTGTGCGCGGAGGCAGACATCATCAGAAAGGTGGACGGGCACTACACGCCCCTAGGTTTGCTAGAGGGAGCTGTATTGCC